AACATTTCATTCATCATAGTAAGCTTGCTTTTATATTTCCTACATGAAATCCCAAGGAACTACTCTGAAATCATGGAGTTGCGACGAATGTAGGACATAGTACACGATTTCTGTCCACAATAGCTATGGGCTGAAACCAAGCCAGTTACTAGGGGAAAGGTACTATTTTCTGCCTGCAAAATTTTTTTCTCAACAAGATAGGTAATTCTCAGCATGGGCATGGGATACCAGCACTGGGCACAACTGTAAGCAACCATCTGAGACTCTGGTTTACAATCAGTTGCAGATTACACTCTTGGCTACATGACAACACAGGGAGACATACAACACTGAAGTTTTATACTAGAATACAAATAAATATGGGAAATAGGCACAGCAGTAGTAGAAATTAATAACGTGTCCCACACTCTAAGTACTTTAGAGTTAATCCTCACCTTAATCTGTAAATATTATTATTCCCATTTACAGATGAGGAAATTGAGGTTGAGAGAATTTCACTTACTTGTCTGAAAAAGCAACTTAGCCATCATACTACTGTTCAAGCTCCCATTTAAATTTGCCCTCTAACTGTAATTTTCTCACCTTTTAAAGTTTATAGTCACCATTATTTGTATATACATTCTCTATATTTGTAGCAAATGTTTCGAACTCTATCAACAGATTGAACCACAGGAGTTGTCTTGCCAAGATAAATCCATTTTGAAATCTAACCAGATATCTTATTTCAAAATAGAAGTGGAAGGAAAAAAAGTTGGGGAGTGGGAAGGAGGAGGGGCCTGTGGAGATGGAAACATACATCTTCCGTTCTCTAAACAATCTGAAAAAGAGCCAGCAGAGATGAGTCTGGCCTCTATTTTTGATGAATATACAAATAGTCACACGCCTCCACTGTGCTCACTAACAAGTATCCCCAGTACATCTCCCACCCTTTGGCCACCTTCATTACTGTCAGTGGTGAACCACCACTTTCCTCATACCTTACGCTTTTATTTCCATTCAGCCACACCCCCAAGTAACATACAATCTAAGTTAAAAAAAAAAAAACTTATGCAAATAAAGCTTCAAGCAAATCACTCCCACATTTCCATCCAACCAGATCATCACTCTGCAGCTTGCCAGCTGTAGAAATTCTAGAGGTACTACTACCCTCGCTAATTTTCTCTTACTACCTAAAGCAAAACAAACATTTTAAGCATCACGCCTTCATTCAAACTCTTTTTGTAATCACTAAATATAACTGAAACATGTATTCCACTGGCAACAAATGCCTTTTCAAATCTTCTCCATAGGAAGTCAACATATTTTTCTTACCCGGGGGTTAGAGGAGTTAGTACCCCCTCGCTCCCCACAAGTATTTCTAGACCATTCTCTATAATTGTTTCCCAACACCATCTTCTCTTCTGAAATTCATGCCATTAATTTCTGCTTCCTATGTGAAGTCCTCCTTGATATCCTCCCCTAGAAAAATTTCTCCTTCCTACTTAATTTTTACAACCAGGCAATAAGTTCAGAAGTCGACAGGATATTTTATACAGCAAAGTACTATCTCTAAATCCCAATTGCCAGTTGCTCTGTGTGTGTGTGTGAATGTGGGGATGGGCAGTGGGAGGCTAATACTGGTAACCAGGAAGTGGAGAGAAAAGAAACACTTGGAAATATAACTGGAAAAAAGACTACACAATAATGTGTTCAGAGTAGTGAAGCGGGACGGGGGGACATTTTCCAAGCAAAACCAAGTCCTGAGCAACAGAAGCACAAGAGGCACTAAGAACCTAGTCCAACAGGAAATATACACTGTTTTTCAACAGAAAACCCCAGAGTGTTCAAAATATAAATTGCTAACTTTTGAGGAATCCATCATGGTCTTCTACGAGAAAAAGCTATCAGCTCAGCAGAGAAGAAATTTGCTCTCAGGACTAAGAACCTTCTCATCCTCCACCAACCCCTTTCCTTTGCAGGCAGTACAAGTTTGACAAATATATGCATATCCCCAAGTAAAACTTTTGACTTGCTGAGGTTCTTTGCCTTGGTAGATAATTTTCAGAGTTAGAATTAACCATGTATTTTGATAACCCTGGACAAGAGTGCTGCAAACGAAAAGAAAAACAAAACAAACCAAAACTTGCATAATTTGATCAGTGAATTCACTAACAGACACCTCTCTCAGGAGGCCAAGAGGCCTGATAGCAAAAGAGTTAATTGTAAGGAATGTTTGGAAATCCAAATAAAGGAAAAGAACATCTGTGTGACATCTATCAGATGTAAAACAAGTCTGAAAATTATTGAAACCAAGTGATGGAAACATGAGGCTTCATTAGAATTGTCTCTCTACTTTTGTGTGTGTTTGGAAAAGTCCATAATCAAAGATTCAAAAAAATTAAGATAGAAACAAATCTGGAAAAGCTCTCAGAATTCCTCTTGTCTGAAATGACAGTTAGAGGAGCCAAAACACAAGCTTCGTGTGTCTAATACCTGCACGGAACCTGCATGAACGTAAGTGAGTGGGAGGAAAAGCAAAACATAAAACGGGCTTTCCTTTTTGAGGCCAGGTGAAGCCAGCTTTCTTTGAAGCGTAAATTAAAAAGTTAGTTCCTTAAGGTGAGAAAGGCAGGTCAGCATAGAACCACTCCTGACAGACTGCGCACGTAGGTGCAGCAAAAGAAAGCAGCACTCTCTGAAGTGCCCATTTCTTCTCTTTGATTAATTCTATGCCAGTAAGATGGGGCGGGGGGCAGTAGATAGGGATAAAATTCCCTGTCCAGCATTCTCCACCCACTTCCAACGCATCTGTCAGGATCAGCGTCATCACATACTTGCAAAGTTATAAGCTCAGGGGCTCATCCCTAAGCTTTGCAGGACACTGCTTAGCTTAATTTAAGAGTATTCTATTCTTTTAAAAAATGCAGGACGAGGAGGGGGAGGGGTGGAGGAGGGGAGAAGGAAGGAGAAGCGTTTTCTCTTTTAAGGACAAATGTATAAGCAGAAAAATGACGACAGTCTATAAAATATAAACAAGACTTTTACAAGGAAGTACAGGAGCCATAGGTTAATGCTGCTTTCCTCTGATTATTAACCTATATTTTAAGACAGAAATCACAGCTCTGAGTCCAATTCCCCCATACGCCACAAAAACGTATACGTTTTACTTTTGTAGCAATAACAAATATAAGTATGTGGGGAAAAGGAAAGCACATTATTAAAATTTTGTCTGCTTAATCATAATGACAAAATTTCCCCCTACACAGCACAGAGAGAAGTTCATTGTAAGATACATGAGATTAAAATTATTTTCAAAGAAACAAGAGAAATAAGACGGTAATTTACATTAAGCAATGAAAGTATTTTCAATTAGTTATTGTGAACACTAATAACTCCAGTAATGAGCACTTGAACATTTTTCAACAATAGGAAACACCAGAAATGAAGTTACAGTCATCATGAGGTATATTTTTATCTTTCAGTAGGTGTTTCGTTGTAGAGCATGTAACATCAAAAGAGCTTGTATGCACTGTATACACAGCGTTACTACAGGTTGTAATTTTCAGAAGCATATGAAATAAACATGAGAAACTTCTCAGATGCATTACAAACAACACTTACATTTTGAAATCAATTTTAATTAATAGACAAACCAGAATGTAATGCTAAGATGATATTATCAGAAAATCATAAGAGCATACCCTAAAGAATAAAACTACCTTTGGGAAAAACAAGAATAAATCTGTAGCAATCACACTAATCACATTTAAATTCTTAGAAGATAAGCAGATTATAAAACATACTTTAAAAATATTCACAAGACAAATATATCATTGGATGTGTGCATATAAATTGTAAAATTGACAAAATCACCCTCAAATGTAAAATTTTACTTATTATTAAAAATATGATCAATATTTAAACAAATCCAAACACACAATATGAGAAAGTAAGGACGGCAAACACATGATAATAAAGGATATATTGGTCCCTTCGTCCCTATCCCAGGGTAGATATCAAGAATCAATCAGGGACTTCCCTGGTGGCGCACTGGTTAAGAATCCGCCTGCCAATGCAGGGGACACGGGTCCGAGCCCTGGTCCGGGAAGATCCCACATGCTGCGGAGCAACTAAGCCCATGCGCCACAACTACTGAGCCGACACTCTAGAGCCCGTGAGCTACAACTACTGAGCCCACGTGCCACAACTACTGAAGCCCACACACCTAGAGCCCATGCTCCACAACAAGAGAAACCAATGCAATGAGAAGCCCACGTACCACAACAAAGAGTAGCCCCCACTCGCTGCAACTAGAGAAAGCCACACACAGCAACAAAGACCCAAGACAGCCAAAAATAAATGAATAAATAAATTAAAAAAGAAAAAGAATCAATCAGTGCATTCTTTCTCTCTGGACCCAAACAAACCCTCAGAAGCACTTCCAAAAAGAGCACTCAGGTACCCATTACCGAGAGACCACGATGAAATATTAAATTATACCTATTTTCTATCCCTAATCTAAGATTTTCATGACTTAAAACATTTAAACAAATGTTTTGGCAATTTGGGCAATTATTTTAAAATCAGAAATGGTTATATTTTCATATCATTTAAAATTCACTTAATCAAGAAACGGATTCCAATGATTTCTTTCACTTCAAGGAAGGTTCCATTGCTGAAACAGCCACCACAAAACGAAATGGACTCAATGGCAAACTTAAATCCATTCATAAAAAATAATGGAATATGTTACTTTCTTTTGAGAAAAGAAAGCACACTCTTTTGAGGGTGTGCTTTGAGAGCTGACAATGAACATACTTGGGCCATTAGTAAGAATACTGATAAAGCAGAAAAAAATAATACTCTTTTCAATATAAGCAATACATTCTCCCATTCTCTACTCAGTAAAGCAGGGGACTGATAAAGGCATGAAGGGTCCTGGATTTTCACGGATCAACAACGAAATAAGGAGTAAAGGGTTGATTTATGGCATTAGCAAAGATACCAAAGTTAACACTTACTTTTGCAAAGGCTTCAAAAATGTCAAAGGAAGGTGGCAGCTGAGAAGCATCCTGTATTTCTTCTCTCAAGAAGTGTTGAAATGTCAATGCAAGTTGCCTGAGGCCCTCTTTCTTATCTTCAGTCAGTTTGTTAATATCTTTTTTAAAGATAAATAGTACAATCACACAGTGAACTTTCAATGGATAATTTTCAGGTATTCAATGGTAGCTGTTAAGGCAGATACTTCCTACCCTAGATTCCATTCTGACAGAGATCAAATGCATCTTTTTATTTGTTGACAACTACAAATCATTATCATACATTATCAGTCAAATTCTGCCAAACGTTATCTACAAAATAAGATCAAACACTGAGCAAAACAAAATAAATACACACACAGATGAAAACACATTAAAACCAAAATCAGGGCTTCCCTGGTGGCGCAGTGGTTGAGAGTCCGCCTGCCGATGCAGGGGACACGGGTTCGTGCCCCGGTCCGGGAAGATCCCACATGCCGCGGAGCGGCTGGGCCCATGAGCCACGGCCGCTGGGCCTGTGCGTCCGGAGCCTGTGCTCCGCAACAGGAGAGGCCACAGCGGTGAGAGGCCCGCGTACCACAAAAAAATAAATAAATAAATAAAAAAGAAGAAGAAAAAAGTGACTAGTTCTCTATTAAAACTTGAAAAGATAGATCAAGATGAAACTACAGCATAACTCTGTTGCTCATGTCAGGTCTACATATTTTCTTTAAATTACTTGTTCAACAGAATAAATTAACCCAATGATTCCTTAAATAATAATTTATTTACATTGGCACTTAGGATTCCATAACCATAAATCTGTACTAGATGATTTTATTTGTCTCCATCTAGAAATATTAAACTGTGTAGCACGTTTACTCCATGAGCTCTTGCTACTTTTGACTTAAAAGTCATTTACAACTTCAATGAAGAGGATCTGTGATCTGTGCCAATAGAAAGAAGCATAAACCCTATGTTCACTTCACACTCAGATTTGCAAAGCCTCTCAGTATTAAGGAGGTTGGCCACCACCATGGTAGTTCAGGATAAGAACAACGCTCAGTGCTGTCAGAGAGCCTACGTCATCGGTACTTTCTACTTTCCTTATTATCTAAATGTTCCCTGGAGCCCCCATTCACATTAATGTTCCCTAACATCAAAAAGAAACCAAGAGTGGGAAAAAGGGAAAGAGGAGGGAAAAACAGAAGTAAAATGTATTCTGTCAGCTGGACAAAGGGTTATACTCCCCTCACTGCCTAACTTGGACACTTCTATGGCACCTCACAAACTCCTCTAGGGCCAAAGCTACCCTAGAATAAATTAAATAAGCTAATGTGTCTATATAAAAGCATGAAAAGGTTTGCTGCCTCACATAATAAAGAGAAAGAAAAATAAAGTTTAAAAAAAACAAAAGGCAACTCATCAGCTCAGCAAATAAATGATAGAACTTAAGATGCTCATTCACTTACTTGACTCCAGATCATAAAATGAGTAAAGTTTCTCCGATTCAGAGGGTGTTTCTTCCATCTATGAAGGAAGGGGGAAAACACCAAAAACAATTTCAAGTACTCCAATATATAAATGAATATGTTTGCATATCTTTAAATATTCAAATGGAAGTCTGTTAAAAAGATAATTTTCTATATTATCCTTCTCATCATTCTTAGAGTTAAATTATTCAGTCAGTCACAACTTTAAAATCTGTGTTGCAACTTGACCCATCAATTTAATTTCCAAACACAAAATTCTTTTACAAGAAGTTTCCATTCTTTTCTTTTTTTCCCCAATCCTACCACAGACTTGTGTCACTGTAAGGATTTTACTACTAATTATTATAGAAAAGCAAAGATGGATGAATAAGAGTTTATTACAAACTGTGCAACCTTGGGCATGTTACTTAAACTTGAGGTGTCAATTTCCTTATGTGAAACACAGGAGTAAGAATAGCACTGAGTTGTTGTGGGATGAAATAAGGTATATCACGTAAAGCGATTAGCACAGGGCCTAGAAACAGTTAAGTGCTCAGCAGAAAGTAGCTATCATTACCGTTTCTATTAGGTTCTGATTCCGTAGGTGGGGTGAAGACTGAGAACTAGAGCCCTGGGTGATTCTGAAGCAACCCATTTCTGCTCATTGGTTCTCTATCTATTCAATACTAATAAAGCAAAAAAAAAAGTTCAGACTCAAATATAATATTATTATACTTTTAATATCCAGTGACTAAAGAAACGCCTAATGACAAAGTTGCTCTGAATTTATTAAAGCTTTGAAATAAATTTGTGCATTTTAGTTCAACACAATATGTACATTTAAAAACAGTAGTAAGTATATGTGATAGATGCATATTCAGTCCAAAGACAATGCCAATTTGGCATTCTAAATCCATTTTGTTTTTAGTAAAGATGTAGTTGATATATAACATTGCATCAGTTTTAGGTATATACTTTTACATTCCTAAATTCCTCTATGAAATTGTATTGCCAAAAGAAGTTAACAGACAACAGGACACAAGACAGCTGAAGCCTGCAATAAAGAGATATTCATTCTAAAGCCTGGCAAAAAAAAAAAACCCAAAATTGGAAGGTGTCGCCAGAGGGGGATTTCAGGGAATCCACTAGCTGCTTTGGCAGAGGAGGGAAAGGGGCTGGAGAAACAAATTCAGGGAATGGTTG